AATAGAAGTTATTTTTGTTTTGTTGGTTTTTGTTTTTTCTGGTTCTGAGGTTTGTTGTGCTCAAGGCTAGCACTCTACCACTTCAGCCACAGTACCACTTCTGGCTTCTTCTGAATAGTTTATTGGAGATAAGAGTCTCATAGACTTTTCTGCCTGGGCTGGCTTTGAACTGTGGTCCTCAGATCTCAGCCTCTGGAGTAGTTAGGATGACAGGCATGGCCTCTGGTGCCTGGCTGATAGAAGTATTTTTAAGTCTGTAAGACTCTTTTTTAAATTACTTTTTTTTGTTTATATGGTTCTGAGGAATCAAACCCAAGGCCTCAAGTATGCTAGGCAAGTATTCTACCACTAAGCCACATTCCCAGCCCTTACAGAAGTATATTTAAAGAATAATCTTAAAGCAGGTTTTCTGCTCCTTTTGTTTTAAAGAAATATTCTCTTCATAAGTTCCAAGATGGAAGTGACTTAAAATATCCGTGCTGGTTCCTCATTTATACCAGACTCTTCCAGCCCCATGTTTACTCTGTCAGTACTTGGCTGTAGTTAGAGTACTGTTCACTCCATGGGGAACAAACAAAGCTTATTGACATGCTTGCTTGATGTATAAAAAGACAAAGGGATCTTCCCATAGTGTTTTTGTGGAACCATATTACAATTCAGAGGGTGAGGACATGGGGTTTGGAAGTTGGAAACTAACCAGCTGAAGTAGTTTTGCCACAGATCTAGAGCAGAATGGGTTATGAAAGTTGGCCAGTGATGTTTTCAGAGTCACTCAAAACTCTGTGTGAGCCCCAAAACTGACACAGTCCTCGCCTCAAGTAAACTCAACTGGTATCTGAGAAAGGTGGAAGTCTTCCTGCCTGTGCTAAGGACTTGCTGCAAATGACTAAATTATGGTGTTATAATACAACTCACTTTTATAAATTATGACTTAATAATATCATTCATAATATTTGAAAAATAAAGTTCAAGCTTGACCAAATCAAGCTCAGATTAATTTTTCCAGGCCTCCATACTTGTCATTTTGCATTCATCATTTATGTTAGTCCTACCTATGTAACACAAAATCAGTTGGAAAAAGTTTTGGAAAGCTAGGAAATAGGAATTATCAAATGCCTAGTTAATATTGGATTGAGCTTTTGTGTTTTTTTTTTCTACTTAAAACTAACATGAGGTAACGTCTGTTCATTACATTAAAAATATAAATAAATAAATCTCAGTCTTTCCAGAACTTGCCCAGGACTTCCCTGCCCAGGTTGGCTGCAAACCATGATCCTCATATCTCAGCCTCCTGAGTAGCTAGGATTACAGGCATGAGTCATTGGCAGATGACTCAGTATTAGTTTCTGTAATTTATTTTGCTATACAGAATTTAGTGGTAGGAAGTGAGAACTGTAGTCTATTTTACCTGGTCAAGCCTCTTGGGATGGGAGGAGATAGAACTATATGAAATATGGTAGACAACTATTTAGCCAACTGGGCTGCAGCCTCCTCCAACTATACAGCCAGACTTATGAAAGCATTGTAACTCCTCAGAACTCTAGAGTTTTCATGGCTTAAGTAAGAAGATGTTAATAGATAGGTTTTGATCTAATTCTCAAATTTAATGAAATGAAAGCAGCATGAAAAATGTTGAAATTATTAGATAAATGTAAGATGTGATGATGATTGTAACGATGAAGATAGGAGGTGAATATTAATTAGGGTTTTGTCTTCCCACCACCACCATCTATTTTTGAGTTACAGCACCTCCTTTTATACTTCTCTTTGGCCTAAGAGCTTGATGGCAAAGCATCCTGAGCCCCAAGATTGGCAGGCTTCCTGCTCTCAGCCTGATGCTTTCATAGCTCAAGTTCTTTTCCTACTTAAAAGTGATCAAGTTGCAGAGCACTGGTGGCTCACACCTATAATCCTAGCTATTCAGGAGGCTAAGATCTGAGGATTGCGGTTTAAAGCCTGCCAAAGTAAGGAAATCCGAGACTCTTACCTCCAATTAACCATCCAAAAAGCTGGAAGTGGACCTGTGGCTCCCAAGTGATTGAGCCCTAGCTTTGAGCACAAAAGCCCAGGGACAGCACCCAGGCCCTGAATTCAAGCACTAAGACTTACATTAAAAACAATAACAAAAACAAGTGATGAATGACAGAGTAACTCCTCAGAGGACCTTGGCCTTTATAGCTCTAGATGTCACTGCTATAAGGTGATAGATCAAAGCAGACTTTGATCCAAATTCTCACTCTACCGTGGCCACTGACAGTATGTAAAATGGGACAGGGCATATCAATTCAGAAGACTGGTATGAGATTACACACAGTATAGAAAGTATCTGCACATAGTCAGGAGTGGTTAATATTGAAATGATCAAGACCCAAAGCACCTCACCTTTTTGTTATAACTACCCCTGCTCACTGAAGTCAAAGCAATGACACAATGCCAAGTTCTACAGGAACATACATTTCTATGCATCATGCACACTTATGAATTACAAGAGCAGGCAATTCAGAGTGCTTACTTCTCCCCCTCTCTCTTTCCCACCATGATTTCCTGTCTGCTTTCACTGCATTTTCAAATGATGCTAGGGGGGCAGTAAAATGAGTCTTGTTTCTCACCCAGCTCTCTGGACCTATGCCTCCAGTGACATGCTGGGGCAAGGGGATTTATCCAGAATGCATCATGAGTGGAGGCCTCAAGGTCTTAAGAAACAGCATTGCTGGCTGGTTTTAGGATAGAAAACAAACGCCTAAGGAGGTTAAATGACTTGTCCAAGATCACACATCTGGAAAAGAAGAAGATTCTGATCTCAAATTCAGGTCATGATTCCAAACAGCTTGTACTTTGTATAGAAGCATCTGGCTGTAACTACAGTGGACACTATTACAGTGTCTAAGACTCTGGTCAATCAGTATTAGGGTTTGAGGGGTCTTGGTGGTCCATGCCACTGGAGAAGAAAGTCCTCACCATGCCATCATGCAGAATGGCATATTGTGACTTCTTGTGTTGTGCCCTGCTCAGGGCTTGATTCTTGGGAGGAAGTGGGCACAAGTCCAAACAGGTCGGGTGGTAGAAATAGAGGTCTGAGCCTCTTCTCTGCGTGACTGGCTTACATGAATATGCAACAGGCAGCACCCCCAAAAAAACCATACTTTGTATCTCCTACTTGTGCTTGCCATCCTAACAATCAGTAGTCTGTGCCAAAAGGCACACTTTAGTATTAAAGGAAGGCATTAGCTTCTGAGATAGGTGACACAAGATATTTATTAAAGTGCTGTAATTGAACTCCATGTAAAATGAGTGACTTCCTCATAAGTCACTAATCCCCAAACAAAATAACCATCAAGAAATATTAAAACACACATTCTATTAGTTTCATTTAATTTCTTAATTGCTCAAAGTCAGTTTACCCATTTATTGCTGTGTGAAGTGCTTAGAGACAAGGCGTACATTAAAGGGATTATTTCCATGTAATCCCCCCCCTCCCAGAGGGTAGAAGCTGATCGCTGAATCCTGATGTTCTCTCAGTAACAATACAAAAGGGAAGAAATAGGTATTGTCAAATTATGTTGTCAGTGGTCAGGTAACGCAGTCAGAGAATGTGATTTAAGAACAAGAGAACATACAATTTTCAGCAAAAAGTTACAAAAGCCCTTTTTTTTTTTTCAGGAAGAGCTATTAACCAATCTGAGTTTAGCCTCCTCTTTTCCTAGCTCTACCTGTTGGTTGATAGATGTGGAAGATGTGGAGGCTGTTAAGATTATCAAAATGGTGTCTGGGAGTAGATGTGATCATCTTATGGGGACTTAGAGTTCAGTAGGGAATAATTGCTCTGAACATTATACTCTGTGTGATAACTCACCCATTGCTGCCATCATTCTTGGCAGGGTGAAAGGGTACAGATTCGGTGGAATTTGGAAAGATGCTGGATATTCTACAGGAATGGGAAATGAGGTGGGAAGAGGTCTAGGTAAATATCTAGCAAGAAACTTGTAACAAAGTAGAATATTCCAGCAACTTCTATAGACCCTTCCTAGCTGGCCTGAGACCATCTCCAGATGACCGGGAAACCCATTAGTGACCCAGAGAAAGCTTTTCCTTGTCCTATTGCTAACGCACCTCTCCATGCTGTAATACCTACAACCCAAGTGCATTATATTAGGGGCATTACAGCTATTCTTAAAAGGAACATTAGGAAAGTTCAGATGTAAGGGTGGTCCTTATCGGTTGCTGTGCCCCCTCCCAAACAGCCTGCCACCCAGACAGAGGGGCCATGTCTGTCAGCACTAAAATAGGCAAGGCCTCTGTTAAAATAGTTTACAATCTGCCTCTATGTGGGGAGCTAGCCTCATTCAAAGAGTACACAAAACAAAACACTTCTGGAAAAAGAAAAAGAAGCCCTTGAGGAGATCTTGTTCCGTGTTATTTTATTAGATTGAAGGCAAAACAAGCTGATACCACTGGGGAAAAAATGGCTGCATCAGACCCCAGATGACCTCTTTTGCATGGAAAATTCTCCATATGCCTACAGACCTAATGGGTAATCTTTAAAAAAAAAATTATGCCTTTGCATATATTTGGAAGTGGCACTTCTTACAATTAAATTTACATAGAAATAAGAGGTGATGTGTTTTTACACAAAGCCCAACTTCTCCATAAGAAAGCTGTAAAATTCAGTCAATCATCCAGCAAGTCAACCAAACAGGCAAGTCTGTATTTGGTGATGGATGGATAAAACAGCCAGATGAAAGGCAGACTGGCTTTATGTAAACGACAGTGTATAAGGGGGACAAAATTGGGGTGAAACAATTGCTAAATAAATACATTGAGGGGAGGAGAAACAACCACAGGTTTGTTTTTTTTATTTCAGTTTGAATCTTAAAATGTTAGAAGATGAAATCAGAGGCAGCATGGCTGCAGGCAGCTGAGCATGTTTTCATTGCTGCTCAGAATCCAAATCTGAGAAACCTGTGACAAGTCTTTCCCCACCCTTTCTCGTCCCTCTCTAGGTGGAGCTGACAGGCAGCAGCGTCTTTGACTATGTCCACCCGGGAGACCACGTGGAGATGGCAGAGCAGCTGGGCATGAAGCTCCCACCTGGGCGTGGTCTCCTGTCGCAGGGCACCGCTGAGGATGGAGCCAGCTCAGCATCTTCCTCTTCTCAGTCCGAGACCCCTGAGCCAGGTGGGAATTTCAGCCCCAACGTGTGGGTTGGTGGGCAGGACCTTTGCTGAATGAGTGTGCTCCAGGTACCCATGTGAAGAGCCTATAAATAGGTCTCAGGGTATTTAACGATTCCACAGAGCTTTCGGTTCCATGCAGTAATTAAATAAGGAAGAGATTGGAAAATAAGGAGACATTTTAATAAGTATAATCCAGAGATCTAATTTCAGTTGAACAATACACACTGAAGGCACTCTTTAGTTTCTCTTGCAGATTATGAGAGGAAAAGCTTCTCATTTGGAACGTTTGTACTTTGATTATTACCAGGACTCAATGTAATATGTATATTTGTTATTTAGTAAAATCTACAAGAGAAGGGCATTTTAAATGTTAGCTTGTGGAGAATTAAAAGTATTGGGGATTTGCGGAAATCTTGGGTTTTCTTCCCCTCGCCCCCACCCCACCTTTTTTTCCCCTAAAGCATCAGAAGGTACTTGAAAGACGTGAACAGATAAATTAAGGCTAAAAAGAAAACAGAAATGGCTACATTTTCAACTGCCTTTCCACCCTCAGTATTTAATTAGATCAATTGTATGGAGGAATGAACAGAGGTGACATTCCTCATTTGGGATTCATTCCAGGACTCTTATAGACTTTGCATTCAGAATGTTCCCATTTTCATTGTGTTGTACTGATGATAATTTAAGTATTAGGGGAAAATCCATTTATAAATTAAACAAAATGACTTGATATCCATCAGTCCCCTAGTTCATCAAGCTGTTCAAACACAGGGAAGATTGGCTGGTCGGTCTGGGTCTTCCGAGAGCGCTGGTAATTAGATCTGCGAAGGATTTATTCTTTGCTGATTGGGGCTTTAAATTAATTGAAGTTCCACATTTGTGGTTTTGTCCTTTTTGTACTTTTTTAGAGGAGATATTTCATATTCTTGTGTGGTGGAGTGCTTGGCCAAGCAGCAGTGGTTTAAATGTTAATTTTTCTCATGAGAAGTTTAAGATTTTTAATGAATCAAAGACTGATGTGAAGTGCAAAGTTGTATTTGCTTGCTTAGGAAATTATTTTTTACACTCTTCGAAGATGCTTGGAATTTTTTTTACTTCATCTGTTGTTTCAAACAGATTCATATAACACTAAAGCATTTGATTAGAAAGAAAAATGGAACAACTAGTCAAGATTTATTACTAAAATAACTATACTTCCAAGAAAATATGTTTGCTCATGCAGATGAGGAAAAAACATATTTGCCTCTTTGGGAAATAATTTAAATCCTGTTAGAACCTTGTTGAAGTTCCTTGGAGTTTCCAGAACATTCCTTATTCCTTATTCTCAGCATCCTTCATTAGCTTTATGCATTAAAAACTACAAAAAATATTTAAGACTGTTCAAAGGAAAATCATTTTGTTCAGGGGGAAGTCATATTTTTAAGCCATAGCTCACTGCCTGTACTGAGTGGACATGTCAGTGAGATAATTGGAACTGGTTTTCTGTCATTGGAGGGTTCAGATGTGGGCATATTTGAGAAGTAGCATGTGAAAATAGTTTTCAATTCTTTATTCTGGATCAAGCAACCAATGTTGAATCTTCATAATTCAAACATGCAGTATGAAAATTTTAAGGTTAAAAGCCTTGGGAAAGTGGACTCTTTTTGTAGATTTTTACTAATTTTTGGATGTACCGGGGGTTTGAACTCAAGGCCTGGCACCTTCTAGGCTGGGCCATGTGAGCCACATTCCCAGGTCTTTTTCAGGTTGTGTTTCCCATTATACCCAGTGCTGGCATCAAATGTAATCTTCTTCTCTATGCCGCCTAAATAGCTGGGATTACAGCTAGGATTGATCTATACTTGGCCTGTTAGTTGAGCTAGAGTCGCATTAAGATTTTTCAGGAATTATTCTCAAACCACGATCCTCCCAATCTCTGCCTCCTGGGTAGCTGGGATTATAGGCACAGTTTTTATTCAACTTTAGAAGGATCTTTTCAGTCCTATAATCTAAATCCCAACATAGCTATCTTTCTATAACAAAACCAACAGGTCCCTTTTCTACTCTCTGCTGAAACCTGATCCTGGTAGGGAGCTCACTAATGTATAAGGCTACCTCCTTCCATTGCAGTTCAAATAGAATTCACTCCTGATTTGGAACCCAAACCCTATTTTGTCATCCGAGACTACACTGAAGAATACTCCATCTTTTCTATTTTTTTATGTTTTTTATTGTGAAATTACTGTATAGAGGGTTTACAGTTACATGAACAAGGTAATGAGTACATTTTTTTTATCAAGCATTGTTGCCTCCTCCGTTGTTTTTCCCCTACATCCCTTCCCTCCCACTTCCACAACTACCTCCCTTGCCCCTCCTACCCCCGCCTAAATTGTAAAGTTTGTTGTTCAACAGTGTCTTGTACATCTCATTGTTACAATTGGTCAACCTGTATTACTCCATCCTTTCTACCATCGCTATTCGATGGTATGGTCCTAAGAGCCTTACCACCCTACACATCCTACCTGTCTGTGCTTCAGTTTGTTGATGACTCCCTAAATATGTTTCTAGTACAAAGAAGAAAGACTGTCACCTTTCCAGCATTGCTACTGTAATTCAGTTAATGAAGCCTAAGGTTAAATTAGGTCCTAATCGAAACCAGATTACCCTGGCCATTCATACGGGGCTTGATGTCTCTCCAGATCTCTGGTGAGGGTGCCTTGTCATCTGGAAGAACCTCTAAGTTGGTTTTGCCAGGGTATCTGCTAGAGTCAAATGAGCAAATGCAAATAAATATTCAAATACAAGAATCAAGGTAAATTTGTGCCTTTTATAAAGCATGAATAGGCATAAGCCAAGTCCAAGTGCACTACAAAAACTCAGTTCTCACCTATTATTAATTCTAGATAACAGAACACATCTGTATTTCTAAAAAGAGAACTCCTTCAACCATCACCATCCTTCTCACCTTTACTCTTTTAACATTGAAGTATAATTGAAAGGTGCTATAAATTTATGTAGCCTTCCTCTAGCCATCCTAACCAGCAAAATTGAAAAATCTGCTGCCTATATCCCATAACAACTGGGGCTCATTAGCCACACTCACATCAGAGAGGGCTTTCTTCCTTAAGTGTAGCTCTCTCCATTAGAGAGAGTCAAGCTATCTTGGCTTTAGAAGTCTGTAGTATTGGTTAGTTTCAATCTCTGGCTTAAAAAAAAAAGGCAATTAGATTGACTGCTCAAATACTGAAAAGCAGCAGAGGGTGCTACCTTGAACGAAATATCTTCACTAATGCAGATGATCGCTCCAAGGGAATTACTTAAAAAGTTCATGTCAGGCACTACATCCCAAAGCTGCTTATGTTTCTTAAAAGCTGAAAGAATTTTAACAAGATTTCCTAATTCTTAATAACACGAAGGAACATTTTTGAAGACTGTTGTTCATTGCATCATAATCTTTTAAACTCTGATAAAACACTGATTCCTTTTTTTACATACTGGTGTAATTTGGCAGGAAGAGGGATATCGATATACAGTTATTATGAAAATGAAAGGACTAGTAGGTAAGGAAATTTCCAGAAGGCCTGATGTGTTCAGTGTAGCATTACTAAATGACTGGAATCTAAATAACATTTGGCATTATAATAAAAGGAAATAAGTGACTAAACCAGACTAAGAGGCAGTGATACTGAGCTGTAATAGGAATTCTATTTCTTTGAGCTGCCAGCCCTGTGATTGTCTTGTCTTGAATAAGTCTCAAGGTAATGGGGGGAGGGAGATCCTGTTGATGTGGCAGCAAATCGAAATGAATATTTTTTTATATATGCACGTTTATAAATAGTTTAGTAGCTATTTCTCCTATAAAACTCTTAAGTCAAACGTTAGAAAAATAAATCAGTGGCTTTGTTGAAAGGTTCTGAAGAGTCCACTGAGTAGTAGATCTGAACATTTTGGAAAGACTTCATGCCACAATTTCTTCTCTGCCATGGGCTCCAACAGCATGGGGAGTTCCATACCTTCTGAACACACTGTGCAAAAGATTCATCTTATTCCTGTAGATCTGTCTGTATTTTTTCATTACTCTTAATGATTCTGCAATCTTGGGATATTGTGTGTTAACTTCATATTTTTATAAATGTCAATACCTCGTCTTCTAAGTGTTTAGTAAACAGGAAAGGTGATCTTTCAAGAAATCCTGGAGGGAACTGGATTTGTTTTTTACTAGGCTAGGACTTATTTTCCTTGAGTTGTATAGTTTTTACTTGTTCCTAGATTTTTTTCCAATTATAAAATTATTTATACTTGTGAAAAATTCAAAGACTATAACCAAGCAGGAAAAAATAACACCAAACAATACCTACTATCAAGAAAAATGCTATCCATTATGTTATACATACACACATGTGTATTATGTTTTCTTTCTATAGATAGATATGAAGAGATATGTGAGATATGTGTTTATGTGTGTGTGTGTATAGATACACACTATGTTTCTGTCTTCAAGATGAAATTTCCTATCTGTCCCCAATGGCTGCTTCCCACTAGCTAACAATCAGCACCCGCTGTAGGGGCACTGGCAGGAGTGACACACCCCGGCCCTGCTTTAGAGGGAATTCAAGGAGGGCCTGGGCTCCTTGCAGCTTGCTGAATGGGTGTGAGCACACAGGGAGAGAAATCAATAGTGCACTAGGATTTAGACAATTTAGCAAAATGTATGAGACAGGACTTTAAGTAAAGAATAACTATAGTGTGATTAACCCATGGTTGTCTAAAATACAGGTTATCATGTCTTGTCTCAGTGTTCAGGTGGAATCTAGCCTTTTGTTGTTGGTTAAACATACATAGTAGTGTCATCTCTTTGCTTGTTTGCCTAGGTCCTGAATGCTTTAAAGGCAGGAAAAAGTAAAAACTAACTACTCTATGCACTAGTAAATTTTACCAACTCCTGATTCTATAGGAACAGACCAGTTCCTCTAACTTTAAATGATAAAATTAGAGAAACTAGTCACTAAGAATAACAACAAC